TCTTTATTTTGAGCCACTTGCATACTCCTGCATTGCAGGGTTTGGGACTAGATGAGTCTTGGGGTCATTTCCAATGGGATGATTTCATGAAGTTGAGCTGTTGAGCTAGGAAGGCTGTTTTAGCTCAGTATTCTCCAAAGTCAGGTTTGCAAGCATTTGGATCCTCGCAATTTCCGGAGGGAGGATCCTGCCTATGGGATGAAACACCGGGCAGGACAAATGAGTATGGATGGTGAACACACACCTTGGAACAGGATGGATATTATATTATAGGACATGATGCTAGCAGTTAATTGGGACCTTCTGGAAAGGAATGGTATAAAAAGCCCTGAGATGCATTGAGACACCATCAACTTCCCTCAACACTGAGACGCTCCAGTTGAGTCCTGCTCTTTGAAGAATCAGGTAAGTTTAGGCAATATGAATTAGTGTATTCAAAATATTTGAATTCTAATAGCTTTAGGGGGAAGCTTCAGTCATTGAATGCTGATGTACTAGCCAGTTCCTTTGTGGGACACTGCAGGATGGAAAGTGGTTGGCCACTGGAAGAACTGGATGTGGGACTAGATGGGCCATAACCAAATCCAGCAGGCTCTTACGTTCTTTTGATCTGTTTCCTTAGATCCATTCAACAAAGATGTCTTGTGGAAAGACCCAGTGCTATAGCAGATGCCCTACCTCCACCGTGACCATTCAGCCACCACCTTTCACTATATCCATTCCGGGCCCAGCTCTCCACTGTTCTGACCAGCCTCTCTGCGTCGATCAATGCAACCCCTGTGCTCCCACTCTGTGCTGCGAGGGAATTGTTCCCATCTCCGCTGGTGCAGCCATCTCCCCCAGCCTTTGTTCTCCGCTGTCGCTACCCAGAAGTGACTGCAACCCTTGCCGAAGATTCTAAGGACTCACAACTCAGGCACAGAATGAAGATTCGAAGACGACTGTGGAAAAAAATCAGAAAATGGCATTCATAATGGGGACGTTCAGAATTTCTGAGTTTGTCGGCATAAGTTCACGTGTAGCCAATCCTAGTCCTAACCAGAACAGACCACCTGATATTATTTTCAGCTTCTGATTCACCCAATATTCCACCCAATGTGAAAAGCACTATTGTGTACTATTTCCTTTATAGAACCCCCCCCCCCCCAACAAATTATGTAGCTTGGTCACTTGCAGATATCTAATGGACTTCTCATATGTCTCCCAATCTTTTGGCTGCAATCTTTTGCTTTCTCATTAGTAATGTTTGCATTTAAGTAACCTCCATCCCTGGATTGGCATTTGGGTGCCACTTGAAACTATGGAAATGTTCCTTGCTTCTGCTTCTCAATTACAATAATAAAACTTCCTATTGTATCAACACCTGCAATTTCCTGGTAGTGTCATTTTATCTTTCTGGTTTCCATCTCAAATGGTGTTCCACCGGGAAAATAAATAAACCACAATGCAGAACAGCAATACCAGGAACACGGGAGCTCCCTCGTACTGAGTCAGACTACTGGTCCATCTGTTGCACTCAGGGTCCCACACAACTAGCTCAGCATTGTCTACACTAAGTGGAAGATGTTCCATCAGGCAACAGGGAATCCGATCCCCACACAGTAGATTGCCAGGAACAGATAAGACAGTGAAAGTTCTTACTAAAGTATTTTATTCAATCTTCACAGAGAGAGGCTGAGAAATGCAGCCTCTTTGAGTAATGGTGTTGCTCCAAATAAATCTCCATCCCCCTTCTCTCCACTTCCTCAATCTTCAACACCACCAGCCACCTTACGGTGGCCACTTAGGGCCATTTGTCTCCGATACTTTTGCTCTCCTATTTTTAAGGCTTGCTGGGTTCTGGGGGAGGGTGGATCTGGAATGCTTTCTAGTGATAATGTGTCGGCCAGCTGCTCTTCCTCCTGCTCCTCCTCTCCCATTCTTTCCCAACTTTCCTCCTCATCTTCCGTTGAGCTGTGACCTCCCTCAAACCCTGTTGTAATTCTGAACTGTCTTCCTCTTCTCTGGAAGGGTCAGGCTGGGGAGGTGGTCTCCACCACTTCTCCTCTGTCGAATCCCTGACACAAACACAGTAAAGGAAAAGCAAAAACTTCCAAACTCCTCTCCCCAGCCATGAGGGAGATGAGATGAGTCAGGAGCATATGCTGCAGCGATCTGGGAAGAGAAAGCAGGGAATCCATCTCACCTGCCAGCTTTCGGTATTCCCTTCGTGCCCTAGCTCTTGCTCCTTTGCCTGCCCACCCGCCCAATCTTGGTGCTTCTTGCACACCGCAGGTTCCTCTCTTTTGCTCACCCACCGACCTGATTAGCAAATGATGGTTGCTAATGATGGTTACAAATGAGACCTACCAAATTGGCTCTTTCAGTCTCCCCTTAGATGCCAGGGACATAATGAAAATTATGCTCCTCCACATGCAGCTGCTGGGTGACCTTGGGCTAGTCACACTTCTCTGAAGTCTCTCAGCCCCACTGACCTCACAGAGTGTTTGTTGTGGGGGAGGAAGGGAAAGGAGAATGTTAGCCACTTTGAGACTCCTGAAGGGGAGTGAAAGGCGGGATATCAAATCCAAATCCAAACTCTTCTTCCTACAGAAATCTTTCTGGGCCTGCCCAGCCATCAAGGGCTTGTCTGAAACAGCTCTTTGGTTGTTGGCCAGTGATTACTAATGATGGTTGCTAATGATGGTTACAAATGAGACCTGCCAAATTGGCTCTTTCAGTCTCCCCTTAGATGCCAGGGACATAATGAAAATTATATATGTGCACTAGCCATCATTTTTACATAAATGACCCAGCATGCTGCAACTGGATGCTATTGACAGAGCTTGCAACATCCCTTCCTGGAAGGAGGATGATCAGGCAAGTAGTGAAGCCTTTAGGTATAACATTATTTAATGACTCTGAATTTGAGGTATAACATTACTCCTTAACTCGACTGAGTTAAGTAACGGCCATGGGAAATGACTTCGAATAATTATAGTAATTACAGGGCCAGGCAAATGCATTACTATTCACAAATTACAGCACCGCACAGAGAGAGAGACTAACTTGGTTCATTGCGCTCAGGAGACATGCAGAAAAAGTCTGCTCAAGAGGAATTCTTCTTTCTTCCACATGGTGAATGTGCTGGAGAATTTTAGAAGCTTGGCCTAATGAAATCTTAGACTCATAGAATTGCAGAGTTGGAAGTGACCCCCCGAAGCTCATCTGGTCCAATCCCCTGCAATACAGGCATCTCAAGTAAAGCATCCCTGACAGATGGCCACCCAACCTCTGCTTAGAAACCTCCAAGGAAGGAGAGTACACAACCCCTCGAGGGAGACCATTCCACTGCCAAACACCTCTTACAGTCAGAAAGTTCTTCTTAATGTTTAGTCGTAATCTCCTTCCTTGGAATCTGAATCCATTGGTACGAGTCCTACCCTCCATTGCAGGATAAGCAAGGTCTTCTAAGTAAGTATCAAATTATATTCCCTGGAGAAGAACTCCTCCCCGCTTATTAAACCATCACACTCTGCTGCACAGGAAACTCTAAAATGACTCTTTATTGCAGAAGATATATTGGCACAGTGGCATATCCCAATAAGACTTGTGCTGTGATGAGCAGCATGTCTTATGAGGGGGAAAGGGATTATGCAGCGAGGGGGAGGCCAGATGACACCAACCAGGACCAGGAACGTGTCAGAGGTTCCTTACGACCGAGCTGAAATGGCTCTCCCCCACAATGTACTTCAGAATCCATCGAGCTCTCCTCTGACGGTGATTAAGAACCTAAGCCTTTAAGGAGGCTTCAGGCACGTTCCCTCATTACACAGAGTTCCCGGACAGCAGAAGAGCAGCAGAAATATGTGCTACATCGCTACGTTTATTTCTAACTATGCAGGACAGAAAAGAATATGCATCTGCACTCTGTGAGAGTCAGTGAATAACTGGACAAAGAAACAGGAAACCAGTAACATCAACATCTGTCTCCCATCTCCCGTGAGACTTCCAACAGAAAGATGGTCGTTACACTGTTCCTCACACAGGACTTCACATATTGTTAATTTTTTTGGGGGGGAGGGGGGGAATCAAGTAGTTACTTTTCACCTTTAAAAGTATCAGCACATGAGAATCTGGATATCAAAAGGAATACATGAACACAGCAGGAAACTGGAGTTTTGATGCAGTAAAGCATTTATTTTGATTGGGAAGAGACACACAATTCCACATGTTGAATTTCAGGTAACACAGAGTGCCAAATCAGACTCCACATGAAGACATGCAGTATCGAAAACAGATAGTGTGTTTGTTTGTTTGTTTGTTTGTTTGTTTGTTTGTTTGTTTTAAATGGAAACATGGACCAGCATGTTACAACATGGAGGCCTAGCTCGTGCAAACATTGAGTAGAACTTAAGCAACACAACTACATTTTTTTTTAAAAAATAATAATAATAATAATAGCCTAACATTGTTAGATGAGTATCGATGGACAAATCTCACACGATGAAGACTTTATCACTCTTCTTCTCCTACAATTGCAATCACAGTGGAACATTGCATTTAAAATAGGGCACCTCTTCAGCTAAAACAGGGCAATATTGAGGCACCACCGGTTTTATCTATGCCCAACTAGAATACAATGTTCCCGGCTTAGAACGTGATTCAGAATGCAAAGTGCTGAAATTGTGTTGAGGACAGGCATAGGTGACTGCCTCAGCAAATGTGAAAGGGGGCCTTTAAGTTAGAAGGTTGTATATTTGAACATAAATTTCTAGAACTCATGTCTACAGTGGAGCCAACATCTGGATTTCTTGCTCCGTGGTCCTCCTCATATTCATTCTGTGGTTGGTGGCTTCAGGGTTTATTCTAACTGGCAAGAACTGCATCCACCCTCACTTTGTGACACATATTTTTTGGAGTAGATGCTGGTTGAACTCAAACCAGAGGTTGGACGGCTGTAGATTGAGCCATGTCCACCATTGTGTGCCCCTCCATGGTAGGGAATCATGCGAGCACAGGGGTTGTGTTGCTCAATGCAAAAAGGTTGGTTGGGGCAGTGGATAGCTGGCCCAGGAATGGTGAGGAGGAAGGGAGGTGGCTGAATTTGGATGGTGGAGGGAGGGCAGCTGGCGTAGCAATGGTTCCATCTGGAAGACATCTTGGCTGAAGTGGATGTATAGATCTGAAAGGACACATCAGGTGGAGAGTCGACAAAGTGTACAAGGGTAAACTGTAATGCAATTTCACAGTGTTCTGGTTCTCCAACAGACATTTTAGAACCAAAGGCCCATTCAGGCCAGCTTTGGGTTCTCGTAGTGGCCAGCTAGAGGCCCCAATGGAAAGCCCACAATCAGGACCTGATTACAATAGCCAGTCTCTCCACTTGTGATTCCTAGCTGCTGCTAACCAGAGTTATACTGCATTTCATAGTGGAGGGTGAACCTAGTCATTGTGGCTAGTAGCCATTGATACCATTACCCTCCATGTGTCCAGCTTCAGTCTCCTTCAGAATAGGCCCACTGAAATCAATGGGCAGGAATAATTTAATTCAGGGATAGCCAGCAATGTCTGCACCAGGTGTTCTCGACTACAAGTCCCATTAGTCCCAGCCAACTTGATCAATATAGCCAGGAACAATCAGAGTTCTAGGTCAAAGCATCTGAAGGACATTGCATTGGCTACCCCTGCCTTTGGTTCATTTATATCAACTGGCCTACCTTGAATATAACTTATCTGGATACAACCACATTAAAAAAATAAAACAAGGTAACTAAATGTAACATGATAGATAGATGATAGCTAGCTAGCTAGCTAGCTAGCTAGCTAGATTATTGGAGACTTGTCATCAAGATCTTGGCCAGTGGATGGGGTATAAATATTAAAACTATTATTATATAGTAATATAATTATATAGTATATAGCTGGATAAAACCCCATAAAAAACAAAACAAGATACAGTGGAACCTCAGGTTGAGAACGTGATCTGTATGGAAGGCACGTTCGCAACCAGGAGTGCCACGTCTGAGCACCTGCGGGTCGTGATTCATCACTTCTGCACATGTGCAAAGCACAATTTAGTGCTTCTGTGCATGCGTGAGCACTGAAACCCGGAAGTAACCCGTTCTAGTACTTCCGGGTTTGACACGGTGTGCAACCCGAAAATGCATAACCTGAAGCATCTGTAACCCAAGGTACCACTGTAACTAAATGTAACACGATAGATAGATAGATAGATAGATATAGATATAGATATAGATATAGATATGGATATGGATATGGATATGGATATGGATATGGATATGGATATGGATATGGATATGGATATAGATATAGATATAGATATAGATATAGATATAGATATAGATATAGATATAGATATAGATATAGATATAGATATAGATAGCTTATTGGAGACTTGCCATCAAGATCTTGGCCAATGGCTGGGGTATAAATAATAAAACTATTATTATTTAATATTGTTATCTACAACCCCTCTTCTACCTTGTTCACCTTCTATTAAATGATACCAAACTATTCATAGATTCTGAGTAGGCATCACCAACACACTAAGGTGTCCCTTCTGCCCTGATCACCAACATTCTGTGCCTTAAGCTTCCTCCTAAACATTTAGAATGGGTTAAAAAGCTGAAATAAAAAGCAGTGCATCTTAACAGGAAAGAAATGGACTTTCAGAGTTTCTTTTTCTTTTTCACTTCCACCTCCAAGATTACCAAGAGGCCTTGAGTTAAAATGAATTATAGCATACCTTACCAAGCTCTGCAGTGAAAAGAACTCGAGTGGAGTGTCTCCGTGCTGAGGGAATCTGGCGATGTTGCTGTGACTGCTTGGGGCTTTTATCTATGTATCCTGAGACTATGATGAGTTTTATTTTCACAAGATTCCAATTAATTCCTAATAGCAGTTTTCCTTGAGTCACTTCCAAGTAATTTCAAGGAGTGATGTTATGATTCACATATCTTCTTCCTTGTTATTGATGTTGCACGCCATAGTTGGGTCACTTCCCTGGAAATTGCTATGGGTCCAGCATTTCAAAAGTGGTTTTGGGTGTTGGTGTTTCTTGAGTTTGATCTCCCCCAAAGCAGAATTGGCAAAGCCTCTTGTCCTTTCCTGAGTGGCATAACAGCTGAAAGAGTTTGAAGTGCTGGGAAGCTGAGAGTTGTTAAAGGATCTGAGAGATGTTAGGAGACCACGATTCCTGCAAAGCGCTACAGTTTGTGGAGTGGTTTAACAAGCATTCCCTCTCCACAGGGACACTGGGAACTGCAGCTGTATGAGGGGAATAGGGTTCTCCTAAGAACCTTCAACATCCTCATGAAACTACAGCTCCCAGAATCCTTTGCGGGAAGACATGACTCTGTAAAGTGGTATAATAGTGCCTTAAATATATGATGTGTATGTAGCCTTAGATTCACCATGTTAGCTCTTAATTATATCCTTTATTCTTCTGAGCTTGTGATTATGTATATTTTACCATTTGTACTTTCTTTAATGATTGGTTGACCATAATGGATAAAACTTTTATTCTGATGTGAGATTCTGTATAATTTACCTTCTCCACACTAGTTCATCAGGTCATGCAGAGGGAAGACAGGTTATATACAAATATATTTCAGAGGTTGTTAAATGTTTTGGACCAGCTGCTACATGTCCCATTTTCACATATAAATTCCCAGAGTTACTAAACCACTCTGGGATTTGTTGCTCCGTGATGGGAATGGTGGGGTGGGTGGGTTCAGCACTCTGAAAAATGGCACTCACTCAATCTCACTCATTCACTTACTTGGGATTCCCAGCAACTGGCATTCAGAGCTATATTGTGTGAAATGGTGGAGGTAGAACATAGTCATTGTATTGAGTAGCTATTGGAAGCCTTATCCTCCAGGAATTTGTATAATCCCCATAAAATATAGATTAGACAGATGTGTGTAGGGGAAGACCACCAATGTGTTTACTGCCGTGGTGCCATGGCCATATGACCTTCAGCTTCAGAAGCAGTAAGTCTCTCTGCCTACCAGTTGCTGGTGAAGTAGAGTGGGATGGGGCTATTGACTTCATGGCTTGTATGTAGGCTTCCCAGAGGCATCTGGCTGGCCAAAGTGAGAAGAGGAAGGTGGAGCAAAGGGGCTTTTGGACTGGTTCCTAAGAATGTAAGAGAAGTCTTCTGGATCAGGTCAAAGGTCCATCAAGTCTAGCGTGCTGTTCCTCCAGTGGCCAACACAAATCCCCTTGGGAAGCTGAGAGTTGTTTAAGGGAGCTGAGAGATGTTAGGGGACCACTATTCCTGCAAAGCGCTACAGTATGCAGAGAGGTTTAACAAGCAATCCCTCTCCACAGGGACACTGGGAACTGCAGCTGTATGAGGGGAATAGGGTTCTCCTAAGAACCTTCAACACCCTCATGAAACTACAGCTCCCAGAATCTTTTGAGGGAAGACATGACTCTGTAAAGTGGTATAATAGTGCCCCTATTGTGATTCTGTACCGTCTTCTTCTTCTCTGGAAGGGTCAGCCTGGGAAGGCGGTCTCCGCCATTCGTCCTCTGCCCAGTCCCTGACAGCGATATTATTTCCCCTCTTCTGACTAGCTTGCCAGGACATCCAGCTAAGAAACTGCTTGTAGGCTGAATCCAATGTCAGTCCCACCCAGGGCTTTTCTCAGGTTGAACTCACAGGAACTCAGTTCCGGCACTAATCACTAACTTAATCATAACAATTATGGGTTGTTTCTCATACTGGACTACTCTGAGTTAAACCAATTGATATCAGTGGACTTAACTAACTGATTCATAATAACTTTCAGTTTAATCCATTTTTTTGTCCTACTCAGAGCAGACCCATTGAGGAACATGACTTACTTAGGTCCGTTAATTCCAGTGGATCTGAATATTTGAATGTTATTTCTGTAGGTAGAACCTTCCGTACCTGATATTCTTTAAGTCCCCGGTGCTCCTCAACTGGGAAATTAGTTGAATATTGATCTGTTCAACTGAGGAAGGAACAAGGCTCATTGTTAAAACTGGGAAAGGAGATGAAGGCCTCATGAGGAGAAGTAGGGAGCTACTTGGAAATTCTAATAGAAATATTTTTTCTTCTATTGTTGCAGGGATGCAAATTATGCCTCTGGAATTAATGCTGAGAGAGACAACACTGATACAGGGACTACAATTGATTCAGAATCCCATAGTGCTTCCGGTTTGGTTTGGTTTCCCGCCCAAATAGCTATTGGATGATTGGAAAAATAAATGACAAGTTATAGAGCATTTGCCAACTTTGCCAGTGTGTCAGAGTGGGTAGGCAAGTATAGCCAGAAGTATACTTAGTCATACCCAAAGAGGGGTGATTTATTTCTGTCATCATAGATTGATACACACATTTTCAGTGTGTGTGTGTTCCTCTGTTTAGTGTCTCAGCTGTGAAAGCTTCTTCCCACCCCTTAAGAGAAAATGAATTTGCCACTTGAATGGTTTTACCTAGGGGGAGAGCAGGGGTAGCCACATGGAGGCCAACAGAACAGGACCAGACTTTATAAGCAGCATCTGCCCAAACATATTACTCTTCTTTGTTGTGGCACCTGTCCTTCTTTCCTGAGTGAGATCAGGCATTACCTAGGTGTTTGGGCAATGTGGGGAAACTCACACTTGTCTAGTATGGTGAAGTTCTGTGTAGCAAGCTTAAAAAATAGGTATATGACCATACATTCCATGTGTGTGGGGGGGGGTGTAATTCATTATGTAAATGAATGGCCCATCCAGTCCAACATCCTGCTCTCTCAGTGCCCACCCAGATTCCTGTGGGAAACTCTCAAACAGAAGTAGAGCACGAGCGTACATTGGGCCATCTGCTTGGCCACTGTGAGAACAGACTGCTGGATGAGCCATTAGCCTGAGCCTAGAGGGTGCTTCTTATGTTCTTTGTGGGAAGCCTAGAAGCAGGACTTCATCACAACATCATCTCTCCTCACTTGGGATTCCCAGAAACTGGCATTCAAAGGTATATTGCATGCAATGGTGGAGGCAGAACATAATCATTGTAATGTGTAGCTACTGGAAGCCTTATCCTCCAGGAATTTGTAAAAACCCATTAACATTTGGATTAGAGAGATGTGTGTAGGAGAAGACCATCAGTAGCTGCTGACTGCCATGGCCATATGACCTTCAGCTTCAGAGGCAGTAGGTCTCTCTGCCTACCAGTTGCTGGTGAAGTAGAGTGGGATGGGGCTATTGACTTCATGCCTTGTATGTAGGCTTCCCAGAGGCATCTGGCTGGCCAAAGTGAGAAGAGGAAGGTGGACCAAAGGGGCTTTTGGACTGGTTCCAAAGAATGTCAGGAAAATCTTCTGGATCAGGTCAAAGGCCCGTCAAGTCCAGAACGCTGTTCCTCCAGTGGCCAACACAATTCCCCTTGGGAAGCATGGAAGTAGAAGCTCAACAGCCCTCTCCAGCTTGGCTCGATTTGTGTTCACATGGCACATGACATTCCAGAGTTTGTGTTGATTCAGCCGTGCTCAAAGCCACTTCTGGGAATCCTTTGGCCAAAAAGCAACTTGCCAAGGGAGGACTCCACGTACGAGGTGAAAGATGAGGAAGAACAAACAGGGACATACTGTAAGGGTAAATGGCTAAAGAAATGAAAACAGTGCTGAAAAAGCCTTGGCAGTTGCATGCTGGAGAACACTTTGGGTGTTTAATTAGAGCTTTGTGACAAGAAAATGCATCATCCTTTCAACTGAAGGCACAGAGCAGCCCAAGTCAGCTTGCCTCACTGATGACACACACTAGTTGGATCTCTTGCCATTGCAGAAAGGTGCAGTTTGGCTACAAATCCACTGCCTTTTTTTGACAATTTCCCCAAGTGATCTTGATTCCTGTTCTTGCAAGCCTGCCATTCACTAATTTAGTAAGTGTATCCAGTATTTCTCAGCACCAAATCTTTGCACTCTTTGATGCCTGACTCTATCAGAAGTAGGAAAGGATATTTTTCCCCACAGCAGATATATATATGAGAAATACCGGTGGTGTTCATTTCAAATTTTCAGAGACATTTAGTATGAAGCTCCTTTCCCCAAGGTGCTACTGTAAATCCATAAACTTTCTAACTGCTTAGGTGACACAGTTGGGACACAAAATCCTGATAATGCAGCTGTTATGAAGGGTCTTGCCTTTAACTATCCCAATTCTCCTGCTAAATATCACTATCCAAACACCTGCATTTACTGCAGATTCTTTTTCCATCATGGTCTACTGTAAATGGTTCCTGCTCTGGAAGGTAGGACTCGAACCAATGGCTTCAAGTTGCAAGAAATGAGATTCTGACTAAACATACAGGGGGGAAAACACTTTCTAACAGTAAGAGCCTTTTGACAGTGGAACAGTCTCCCTTTGGAGGTTGTGGACTCTCCTTCCTAAGAAGAGGTTGGATGGCCGTCTGTCATGGAGGCTCTAGCTGGGATTCTTGCATTGCAGTGGGTTGGACTAGATGACTCTTTGAGTGTCTTCCCACTCTAAGATTCTATACATAAAGCCGAGATAATGCACCCTTCCAAGTGGTTGAGGAGTTTCTTAGCCCCCCTCCCCTTTTTATACCGTATCCATGGACAGGGACGGAAGATGGGGAGCCAAGCTACTCTTAAAGGGGCCATGAGAAAAATTACAGTTAAGCAAAATTTGGAATTTGGGACTCTACATAACATAGTGAGAAGCTATGATGGCTTAAGGGCTTTTGTAACTGTCTCAGCATTTTGGGGGCAGTTGGATGCTCTGTTCTTGCAAGAATTTTTTCACCTGGCTAAGGAGGTCAACAAAAGAG